GAAGAAAGAAGTACAAGGCAATCGATGCACGTATTGCGTCCCTCAAGATCCAGCTCCTGAACCAACACCTGAGTGAGATGGAATATGCTGACCACGTGGGCGACCTCCTTCATCTGCAGTTATGATCCATTATGATATTCATATGCTACTCATATTCATCAATGTAAAGTTCTGATGAATATGTTATCCTTGTTGAATAAGAAATGAGAAAACAAGACTTGTTTTGTTATATACGGTAACCTGTTAGAATCACAAAGCATGTTTTGACAGCATAGCCGTGAGAGCCACATTATACAATCACGCAACCATAACCATTGCCGGGAGCGCCACATCAATTTGGGCTATCTATTTTCGAAATGTGGCTTTGCCGGCCTGTAACCATGGGCACCGTCGCGCTGTTGCGACATTTTGACCAATTTGAATGGTTACAGGCCGGCACCATTTGAATTGTGCTTTGAATAATGTTTGGTTTTTACAAAAAGGCGACAATGCGACAACACGACATTTGCCAAGTTCATGCTTCTCCCACTATTTGTTTATGCATAATATAAAACGTTTTATATTATGATTAATAATGGTAAAATGAACTGAACGTTTCAAATTATGATTAGTAATGGTAAAATGAACTGAACGTTTTCAATTATGATTAGTAATGGTAAAATGGACTGAACGTTTTCAATAATGATTAGTAATGGTAAAATGGAATGAACGTTCTAAATTATGATTAGTAATGGTAAAATGGACTGAACGTTTTAAATTATGATTAGTAATGGTAAAATGGACTGAAAGTTTCAAATTATGAACATGAAACTGAAGTGTTGCATATGATTGCATAGATTACCTATGCATAGGATATGCATGGTAACATGTCAATATGGTGTATGAAAACATTGCAAATTTTACACAGTAGCAATTAACCTGACCGCTCCTTGGAATTACGTGCCTCGGATGTAAGACACGTGTGCTAGGTTCAGTAGGGTTCGTTTGACCGTTGTTTGCTGATTCTGTATTGACAATTTGTGCGGCAAACGCAGAACCCTTATTTATAGGTAAATGGCTAACTCTACTGTATTATAGTTGCGGGTATGGGAGCGGGTAAGCTCAAAAGAATATTGCAAAACACATATTGTGATTTTTGACGGTAGAAGCTGACATTGACAAAATGACACAGTTTTATTTTTCAAATAAGAAAGTATTAAATTTGAACAGGATTCAGGCACTGGTCATTTATAATAGGGAAGGGGGGGGGGGGGGGGGGGGTCGTTACATGTATTTGTTGGGTGGGGCGGAGGGATGAATACATGTTGATGTCGGCGAATTTTGATGCCTAATCCCCAGGCCACGCATCATTATAGTGGAGTCCCAATGTACTCTTTATTAAATGATATTTTAACAACATATAATGTGTCCTGTTAACACGTCTCTGTCAGTTATTATATATGGACGCAACGTTCTATACTAATACTTCATGCAACAATGAGCACTCCGGCGATCTCTTTGTTACAAGGTCCTGAATCCCAGTCTCGTGACAACATAACACTTAAGCGAAGGTTTTCATTATGTTCAGTACTAGTCTTCTTTCAATAGTTCTGGCCGATTTTGTCAGATTTATATATTTTAACACATAACCCTCAATTTTATACGCCCGCAAATTACCTCTGTCCAAGAATTAGAATGAATATTGAGAGAATGGCTTCTCTTAGCTTAAAACGACTGCCATCAGTATTGCAAACTCATTTGTTGTCAGCGATTAATGGGAGACAATCCTTGACGGACTATTCTCAATTATAATTCAAACATAATTAATAATTCAAACATGTTAAAAAAATGCAGCAAAGATGGTTTGAGTGATCCTGGCACAGTCAAGCTGATTAGGCTCATCATCAGCTCCGGGCCCTTGCCCCCTCTACACGCAGCCCAGACAGCGAATGGGACTTCTCTCAGGAAGCGCTGCCCAGTCAAACCTACCCAGAACTTTTCGGAGAATGTGAAGACTCCCCAACACTGCAGCCTTCTGCATTACCCAGATTGTCAGAAGGGCGGTATTCCTGGTAGCAAACCCGGGTACTCTCCCGTTGTCAGTCAACAGATTGGGAGGTACCAAACCTAAGGCACCGAGAACAATGGGGAGTTGGACAACTTGGTACTTGGCATGCAAGCGTGACATTTCGAAAGTGAGGTCCGCATATTTGCCATGTTTTTCCTCAATCTTGTCAATCAAATTAGTGTCAAAGGGGACAGAAAATTCTATGATATAAATGATTTCATTAGATTTATCAAAAAGGACAAGATCAGGTTTGTTGGCCTTGCTACGTCTAAGGCTGTAAATGGGCCTATTCAAAAGAATTTTGTATTTATCATTTTCCATGACGCCCTCCACATATTCCGGGTCGTACAATGGGTGGACTTCTGTGTCAAAACCACAAGCATGGCGAAGACGGTAATTAAATGATCGAGCTACACCATCATGTTGTATGGGATACTGTGTTTGTGCCAAAGCTGGGCATCCACTGATAATGTGCTGGACAGTCTCATTTAATTCATTACATAATCATTCTACATTTCATATTTACATTTTGATGCACAATCATACATTGAAGGTTTCGAGTGGGAAGTGACTGGTCCTGAGCAGCGAACAGAAAGCCTTCAGTTTCATTTTTCAGGCCACGCGACTTCATTCAACCGAAGGACTCGGCGGGATTGCTGATCTTCTCAACACGCTGCACATAAACTCGATGCAGTGGTCGTTCAGATAGCCTCTCCTTGAAAAACTGAGTCTAGGCCGAAATGATATGGCACTTCGCTTGGTTGACACTCTTTTCTGTACCGTCCAGCAGTACAGAACCATCAACAAAATCAACACCGACATTGAGATTATGTCCCACATCCTTGGCTCGTTTAAGAAAACTGTAGAATGCCTTGTTTTCATCATGAGTCTTGACATTATTATTATTATTATTATCATTATTATTATTATTATTATTATTATTATTATTATTATTATTATTATTATCATACTCTACTACTACAGAGTTAGAAGGTTTGGAAATACATCTATCTGCTCTTTAACTCCAGATAATTGGGGTAACCGCACACACGTATTAGCGGTTTCATTAAGCCATCCAACCATCAGCCCCCTGGAGCATGCGTCTGACAATGATCACGAGCCCCTGTACACCTCCCCCACCATGTATTTACTGTACATGAATCTCAAGGTATCACTGCTGGGTCTCTGATGTGGTGTCTGTTAAAAATAAACTCTTCCCAACAACTAATGCATGTGTTTGTTATTTGATACGTTTCGCTTATAGCGTTTCGGCATTTCCACATCACTCTTTTTTAAAATAATTAAAGTCTTTATATATTTATATAGGCATACTTATTTCCCTATGCACATAGCTACGTTTGCTATTCTATTGCCCATTCCATCCCAGATTTAGTGATCCGTTTGTTTCCCTCGGACTGTGCGCAGGCAGGCCACACAGCTGACTTTAGAATTTTCTGTTGCCTGGTGTGTTTACTTTGTGCCTTGTCTGCACGCTGTCGCTGTAATACATGTTAGCATGGATATATATCTGTATGTCGGCATTATTTGGGGGTGATTTCAGAATACTACGTTTATGCTTATCATTTTCCGTTGTTTGTTTTCATAAAGAAAAGCGTCGTTGATTTATTGCTAGTTTGTCATGTGATTAAGAAAAATAAGGCTGACTTTTATAAAACTATTTACTCAACAACAAAAATTCCCGTGACACCAATATTTTAATGTATTTTTCAAACAAGAAAAGTTTGGTTTTCAATATTGTAGTACATATAAACAAGTCACAAAAACGCAACTGCTACAGAAAAGCATGCATTCCATGCAAAAGTTGACTTTTATGCAAGCCCAATGCATTTCACAACCCACGAATAGGTAAAAACACATGTGCCTTAACGGGATTCCATATGCATTGTTTAGCATCGTGCTGACAACAACCACTCAGAAAAACAACAACATTACGCAATTATTCAACATTACGAAATGCCACGCCTGTCCGAAAATGAGCGTCTGCGAGCCATTGGTATGCTTGAAGCAGGATCGAGTCAACGTGATGTTGCAAGACAATTTAACGTCCACAGAAACACTTTTTGGTGTTTATGGCAACGTTGGCAACTGACGAATGCAGTCAGAGACCATCCTCGAAGTGGCAGGCCACGCGTAACCAATAATCGACAAGACAACTGGATTCGAACAACATACCTACGAAATCGATTCCAGCCAGCAACAGTGACTTCAAGAAGCATCCCTGGCCTTAGACGAATATCTTCACAAACCGTATGTCGTCGCCTCAGATGTGCAGGTATTGTCGCCAGAAGACCCACCAGACGTCCCATTTTGACAGGAAACAATCGTCAAGTACGTCTACAGTGGTGCAGACAGCGTCTACGCTGGACAGCCATGCAGTGGGGACAAGTTCTATTCACTGACGAGTCTCGTTCTCACCTCAGCCACAGCGATGGACGGATTCGAGTGTACCGACGTGGAGGGGAACGTTACGTCAATCATTGTGTCATGGAAGAAGATCGGTTCGGGGGCGGCAACGTCATGATATGGGACGGGATTACAGCAAGACAGAGGACCCGTTTGATAGTGGTAGAGGGAAATCTCAATGGACAGCTCTACCGCGACGAGATCATCGGCCCTGTTGTTCTACTGGTTTTGCGTCGTCATGGCCCAGGCATTACCTTTCAACATGACAACGCCCGGCCCCATATTGCTCGACTTATTCAGGATCCTCTTCAACCAAACAACGTGAATGTCATCTCCTGGCCGGCTCGCTCCCCTGATCTCCCACCAATCGAGAACATGTGGGATGAGATGGATCAGAAATGGGTTTCACACATTGTACCCATGTTGGGAATCGAACCCGGGACGAGCTAACGCTTTAACCACTAGGCTAATTGACCATATTCAATTTGACAAAGTAGTTTGGAAGTTAAAAGAAACAATTCCCCTTGACTGAACTGTTCAATATTTTTTTATATACTCACTTAAACTGCATGGTATATCATTCTCTCACCCATAATGCACACAGACAATGTCCTCGTTTCGCACAAGGGCTATATTACAACGACTTGATCTATACTGAACGTAGGGACGAGGCAGTAGGGTCCCCCGTAGATTACCAAACTACCGTTATTGTGGCATACCAGCATGCTATCGGAATGTCGTTCCTCCAGTGCAGTGTGTGTGATTACTGGCAGTTTGTTCCATGTGTTACGTCATTCGACCAGGACGTCTGCAATAGGAAGAAGGTCGGCTGTTATTGTTGTAATGAATGAAACTGTGCAATGTGCAAGCTCCGACGTTCATACAGTTTTGCGCTCACTCTACGAAGGTTCATACTCCAATAAACAAAGTGAAAGTCAATTCTTAAACCATTGCTATATAATTTCATACGTTGAGGTTTACACTGTTTCTTTCATGCTGATTGGTCACGTGATCTGATGAACCTGTGAACACCTGTGAACGGACAAAAAAAGTTCACAGGATGTGAACAATTTTTTGTGAAATTGATCGTGTGAACTTTTGCCGTAACTACTTTCCGGGGTTTCCCCGAATTCTCGATCGGTGTTTACGATCAACTCGTCTTCTATTTTCTTTTTAATACCTGCATTTATCAGCAATATAATGAATTTAGTATATTTGCCTGGTCTTGTAACATTTTATCTGACTTATAATTAAAATAAATAAATGCTTTGGTTCTGGTGATTGATGTCGTCTAGCTGCTACATGAAACAAAATGGATTGTCCTTGCGGTGATTTGGATATTGAATGGCAATCTTTCAATACTAATAACGCGAGTGAAGAAAATTAATTCTGTAAAATTACTGAGGTGAACGAAATTTATTGAACGATTTATTGAGCGATATTGACTTTGATGCCTTGTTTTCGGAAACGAGAGGAATCTAGCACCAATGAAAACAATGTCGTACCCTGCTCAGATGTGGCCGCTGACAGAGCAAATGCGACTGCTCCTGATCAATCCCAAACTAAAACCCAATTTTCTACCGTATCGGGAAAAAAATCAAAGATTTTGAGAAACCTTTAAACATAAAAAGGTAAGGAAAGAAACTTAGATTAACAAAAAACACACCAAAAACTTGCCTACCTGTTTTATCGATTGGTCATCGGAGACGAGAAAATATCCGTAGACGGAATTAGAAATCTGCTATTCCAGTTTCTGAGTTGGCCGACCTTCTCCGTGCATTCTAGCCCGAGAAGAGGCGGCACATGAGGAGTGACGGGGCACAGTAATGAAGCTGGCATCAGGTTATACAGCAGGTCCATCTCGGATGACAAAAAACACCAGCTTAGCAAAGTATTACAGCACACGCCACAAATCCCAAACTCCAAATATAACACACCCTGACGTTGAAAATTAACACAAAACACACAGGTTTCAGAGCACTCCGTTCCATCCCCACCAGTCCATTCCGCATCGTCAGAATTGGTTTGCGATTATCCAAACACAAGCAACACATGCATAAATCGGTGATATTCCCAATTTGCTCGTGCCACGGGAGGGTTCACGCGTCCGCGTGTTTTCCATAACTGCTCCATAAACGTCATTTTAAACAGCAGCAAGTATAAATTTCATCCTCATGCTCCCATTCGACTCGAAATGCACCTCTTTGCAAACTTATGTGACGTCATATATAATTTCGCGCTTGAAGGTTGATCTCGCCTCGGTGCATCGGGGTCATGTTTATATTTTTGTTCAACTTCCTGTAACCTGTTTTTAAGATTTGATTTATCCCAAATTTTGTTTGTAAATGTATTCAGAGAATGAAATTATGTTGACATATTTCTAGATTATGTTGTATATATTCAAAGAACTATTTTTCTTTGCGTAACTGAGTATGAGTGGGGAAACGCATGTGACCGAGAGCCGGCAAATACCGACAAAATAACATTGTTGTAATGTTCTTCGGCGAAACCAGAGGACTTCAAATTTAAGCAAACATTGTCACGATATTATTCGGCGAGACCAGTAAACAACAAAGTATGAAATTACAAGAATTCAACGTCAGTTTGGATGGATTCATTGAAGTGTGAACGGTTTAAAACCGCTGGTTAAACTTTCGTGTGAACACAGTTTAACCAGCGCTTTTAAATCGTTCACGCTTCAATGAACCAATCCAAACTGTGTTAAACACACCCCGGGTATATGTATGTATGTATGTATGTGTGTGTGTGTGTGTGTGTGTGTGTGTGTGTGTGTGTGTGTGTGTGTGTGTGTGTGTGTGTGTGTGTGTGTTTGCGTATGTGCGCGCGCGCGCGCGTGCGTGAGTGTGTGTGTGTGTGTATGTATGTATGTATGTATGTATGTATGTGTGTATGCATGTATGTCTCTGAATATATCTGTATGTGTGTATGCATGTATGTGTCTGCATATGTCTGTATGTGTATATGTGTATATGTCTGTACCTGACATAATATCATCTTTTGTTTGCACGTGCATTCGTTATTTTTGGGATCGTGATACTTGTTGATATTACAGATAACGTTGTGCGCATGTCCATCAGAAAAAAAAAAAATTCTCTTTAGAAATAAACAACCAGCTAGTGTCATGGCGATATTCTATATCTGCAAGTGCTTCTCATAATTGATTGGCTATTTGAGGGGTCAAGATGAACTTGAACTTGCATGGATAGGTGAGGTGAGGGTGAGATGAGGTTAACGGGTTTAACGTCGCGTTCAAGATTATTGCAGTTATATAGCGAAGTGCATGTGTGTGTGTGGCTGCTTGTACTTATGCCGCTTTTATAGTGCTAGCCTAATGAGATAACATGCCGCAAGTTAAAATATCCCAGAATTAGAATATCCCACTCAGGCACAGTATACTGACCAATCCTTGTTTAAGCTCATTAATGCCGAGCGCCAGGCAAGGTAACAACAAGTACCAACTTTTAACGTCTTTTGGTATGACGCGGACGGGGTCGAACCCAGTGCTTCCAGTCTCCCGGCAGACGCTCCACCACCAGACCACGGAGGCGGTCGTGCATGGATAGCGAATGATACCCGATGTTTATATCATTAAAGGAAATAGCCAACAATACCGTAGAGCTCCATATGTATAAAACATATTGCACTGACATAACTGATGCATGCAGAGAACTGTTCATCATTTCCAGTGAAAGAAACAACCCAGCAGTGTATGCTCTCTTTATGTTTATGGCCCTGTACACTCAGAGTAGGCGGTAGCAGGGTTGCAGATTTTCTTTGTAATCAAACAAACCCGTCAATTTGAAAAGGGAGATTGAATAATTTTGGAGTGTATTCAACAATTTCCTTACTGAATTTCAATTGTTTTCTGTGCCGAATGCACCCATTGCAAGAAGGCTGTGATATCGCTGATGCAACGTTAATGTTTCATTCAGGTCACCGTGCAGGCTAGTTATTAACAGTGCGATCCTGCAGACACATCGTCAACACTGAATGTAAACAAAGCTGCAACAAGTGCACATCATATCGTGTATACACACGTGTGCTGCAGGAAATGTACAAAGAATATTTGATTAAGAATTATCACACATTTCGTTTTATTTGTTATAAATATGCACGTACTTGTTTATAGTTATGCACGGTGATACAACTATCCGGTATATATAACATATGGTGAAGTCATTACAATAGAATAGAATACATTATATTATATACAGTATATTATACAATGGACGATGGCAACATTAAATGCACCCACCCCCCCCCCCCCCCAACCCCCCCGACCCCCACCCCACACACACACACACCCTCCCCCACTGTGTTGCAAAACGAATATTTCTTAGAAGTTATTCTTTACTTAAAAGCAGCATGCTTTGTCAGTGTGATTAATCAATAACAAATAAAACACATTGGCCTACAAGTAAACTATCCGAGGTCAGGTAATCCGATGGTTGATAGCTTGAACAGCGATCAATGTCGTCGGGAACGATGGTATGATACACATTAAGCCAGGTCAGACGTTGAAAAGTCCGAAGAATCTAACATCATGATGGGGAATCACAAACGATGTTCGTGAAATAGTTTATTGTTATAAAGCACCAGATATTATACAAGGCCTTTCATGAACACTTACTGAATGCCTCCACACAATGGCATAACTCACGCGTTGCAAGAATATAACCATCCACGACAATGTGAAGTGACATGCAATGACAAGCTGAAGAGGTTCAGGTAGGTCATGTTACTGATCTTCAATCTTAAATGCACTCTCATTGCACAGCTTATTGCTTTCATTCCCGGGGACAGGTGGTGTTTTCGTGAAATTGTCTACCCATGTTGACTTGGTTGTGTGAGGCACATCTGCTATATGATACCGGTATCAACCTACCTCACAGATTATTTTGCAGTTTGTTATCTCAGTGATCCGGAAATTGAAACCCAATTCTGTTTTAAGCGTCCGATGGTGCGCTTCAATAAAATTACAAGAGCGGTGACTTTATCTCGCATGTCACTGAATATGAACAACTGCTTGCTTGGTAAAGTTGACTACTATTGCGTAGAAGTTGTGTCATCCAGGAAGTAGATCTAACCTAAATACCTGGGGTACTCTCATATGATTGGCCGGCTCCTGGGAACTACAGGTGTACCCAGACAGCTGAGGATCAGCAGTTTTATGGATTACCCTTGCCGAAAGGAGACCAACAGAAACCGGTTTGGCGAATCGTGTTTGGTAAGTTATGATTTTTTCACGCATTAAATTACATTTCTACTTAGATTTTATTTTCATGAATTATATAAGCATGCCGTGCAAACACTTTATTCTCTTTAATGGATTTTTCACTAAACGTATTGAACTTGTACAATAATGAAAACCAATATAATGGAAGCAAAATAAGGTTACATTATTATTTCCTAATCTTCGGTCTCGTATTTCATATCAAAGTAGTTGCTTACTTACGCCGCAAGAATGTCATGTAAGCGCATGTGATGACAGCCCCCTTTCAATCACGTGATCCCAGTTCAGAGCCGAGAGATAGCATGACGGCCTGTCCTCATTTCGCCTACACCTCATTTCGCCTACACCCTTATCAAATCAAATTTACAGCTGACTGCACATCAGTCAAATGCTGTGTTACCTCTAAAATAATGAACTGACCCAAAAGAAGGTTAAACAGACAAGACAATCTTGAAGCTTCATACATTGTTTAATAGCTGATATTTACATTATGCAGTAATAATAATAATGACTCATGATTACTGTAGCTTTAGTACATATCAAACGGCATCAAGAAATTGTATTACCGTTTTTCTTCCACTAAGAGTGAGTGAGTATGGTTTTACCCCGCTTTTAGCAATATTCCAGCAATATCACGGCGGGGGACACCAGAAATGGGCTTCACACATTGTACCCATGTCGGGAATCGAACCCGGGTCTTCGGCGTGACGAGCGAACGCTTTAACCACAAGGCTACCCGACCGCCCCTCTTCCGCTAAGAAGCTGTGTCTTTAGTCTTTCAATTCTTTCGTCCCTTTGTCTGTCAACACGAGCTCGGGGTTCAACAGTTCAACAATTGAGCAGACATCTAATTTCCTTTGATTAAACCAATACTAAGAACTAACCAATTTGTAACAATTACCAACAATGTGAGAAGCGATGATAGGCTTCTTTACACCTTCATTATTAAATAAGATTTATTTACTTAACAAGATTTACTTGCACATTCAAAACAACTAAGGATTAACAGAATGACCAAGTCAAACAAGAGTTCTGAGAAGTTGTCATAAGTTGTAAAAACTTCACTTTGAACCTCTATGCCGCTTGGATTAGAAAAGAGCTTGGATTAGTTAACAGCCTGAGATGAACAATGCCCATTCATATAATAGGGGTGAGGCAATTAAACATTTGAATTATTGTAGGCGAAATGAGGTGTAGGCGAAATGAGGTGTAGGCGAAATGAGGTGTAGGCGAAATGAGGTGTAGGCGAAATGAGGTGAAGGCGAAATGAGGTGTAGGCGAAATGAGGTGTAGGCGAAATGAGGTGTAGGCGAAATGAGGGCAAGCCAGCATGACGATGCATACAGATTTAATGGCTCCTGTCAATCCTTCCGTGCATCGTGAAGTCGTTTTAGCTGTCAACTCGATATTTCATAATGCTTTTGACACGCGAGTGTCCTGTTGTGTTAACTGAACTCTGCAGACACACACACACCCTCCCCTCTCCCCCGCATACATCTCCCCGGCAAAAAATAGTAAAATAGTAAATATTTGACACAGTGTTTGTCGACATCCATATAAGATTATACCGAAAATGAATTTGTCATTTCTGCGTGAGAGCCTAGAGCACCGGGGCACACCAACATCACATGCACGTGCAGCATCACGGGCCATAATTGGGCCATAAACACGTTGGGGTTTCATTTGCATGCCATCACAATCTTACAGCAAGTGAAGAGCGATGTATGTTCTGCTCAATAAAGACCGTCTATACATTCCACAGTGTGAATGTTTCATTTGAGCCTTGAGTATTTTTGTAAAGACATCCTAAAGCACATGTGTTTTAGCTATCATTATTTTTAACGATTTCCCCGAGTGCTCTTCACTTCTGACGATGTCCTGTACTTAATATTTCTGTCAAATGTAATATACCAGGAAGCAAATAAGGCACCACTTACCATATAGTTACAATGATATAAAATATCCATGAAAAAGATTGTATACTTTTTAAGACGACATAAAATTATAACATCGTTATTATTTACAATAGTGAAATACCCATGTACAAATATGGAAACCATAGTCGATTATCTAATGAAATATTTTTTAACGTCCAACGCCAGTTAATATTCGACTATCATTTCATTTGCTCCATGTTTTCTTCATCGCATTAAATTAATCTGATATGAATTAGTGATTGTTATCATATGGCGAAATGTACAATGTTCATGTACTAACGTGTTGGCAGCTATCATTGGCACACTGAGCATTTATCAGAAAAGGATCCATGTCACACAGCTTTCCAAGCGATACCTGTCGGTGTTCGGCATATATGATCTTACTGAAGGCCAGGTGATTATTATATAACGTTTTCAAGGTGTACATTTGCGAGCATCGAAATTGGATATTGATGATAATAATTACATTACAACATACAGTAATAAGTATTTCATTCCTCTACTCATTTTTTAATTACTAACATTTTATACAGGAATCTGTCAAACAATAGTGATTCAGTCGATTTACATAAACAGGGATGAAACTGAGTTTCCAGTGTGTCAACAGTAATTTCTGTAGGTAAATTGGGATATGGGCACTATGGGATTGAACCCTTATCAGAGGCTTTACATCGTGATGATTCATGATAAAATGGTAACTACTTATTTGATTCCATACTGATTGTTAGATCAGCGATGTCCTGTTTGTAACTTGTAATGTATGACGCGTAGTTAATCTGCGACACATACTACAGATAGAAGACCTTAATGTATTGCTAACAGTAATACCAGCCCACTCAGAGTTGGACGTTGTCCTATATCGAGCTAAATGCCCATGAAGTTAACCTACAAGTGTATTCGTTTTCAATATAGAACGTGTGGGATATAGAAATGACTTCGAGGCAGTTGTATTAAAAATAACTGAAATGACGGATCTGTCTTTTCTTATCTGAGGTATGTTGAGCAATATTCCATCCATTTCACGACGACTGTCACTCATTACTGAGAATATTGTCTCCATTGGTGGATCGACACATTGCCAGCTATCGACATTTGTACAAGGGTAACACATGAAAACTTGAAAAAAGGATTTTAAATTGAAGGTTTATTCTCACACAACATTTGCAAACATACATGCAAAACTAGTGCTGTTGTGGCTGCTATGTTGGAAATACGGTCTGTTTGCTTCAGGGATCGTATGTTACTACCGTGCATCAGTGTAAGAATAGCTGCTCTTTTCACGATCCTAAACATACACATAAGCGCGTTTCTTGTCCCATGAGTTTGATGCGTTTAAGGTCTTAACATGTTTTGGATTGTGTTTTGTGTTTAACAGCTAAACGTGTTCAGGGTGTGGGAGAGACACGTATTCCCCCAACCTTCCGCCCCCTCGAAATTCATTGTAGGTAATTTAAGAAAGGCGCATTCTTTATGTTTTTTAAGCGTTTATTTTGGATATTGGTATTTAGGGTTAACTTAAAACAAATAGGAGTCTGTCGTACTAATCAGATATACTTACATCACCAGTTTCCCTGTATGACAGAGATACTATTTGTCATACAGCAACAACGTAACACGTTTGTGAATACAACACAAAAAAGACTTCGGTAGGATAGGAACATGCAAGCTCTTAGTTTGTGGTCCTGCACGCTACCAACTCTTCTACGGTGATTGTTGATGCCACAAATGTCAATTATTCTAATCACCATTATCTTGGCTTGGTTTATTCGTACAATGAGTGTGGTTTTACGCCGCCTTTAGAAATACTCCAGCAATATCATGGATCAGGACACCAGAAATGGTCTTCACACATTGTATCCATGTGGAGAATCGAACCCAAGTGTTCGACATGACGAACGGACACTTTAACCACAAGGCTACCTCGCCGCCCCAACTTTTCTCAGCACATTAGGGTTAAACCAACATGTATTTTATTTCAAAACGCACACGATAATGGTTTCCACATGTGCATATACAATGTTATTAAGCGGAAGATCCCTGGCCACGTCATACCAAAATATAATAAAAGATGGTACTTGTTGTTTCCCTGCATGGCGCTATGCGTATACTGTGTCTGAATGCGGTATTCATGTTAAACTGCCGCATGGTATGTTAGTGTGCGAGAACTATGAAACTGGCATAGGTTCGGACGAGTCAAGCAGCTACACACGCACACACGCACACATACGCACACACACGCACACACACACGCACATACACACACACTTGCATACATGTCGCCATACAAGAGTAACAATGTTGAACGCGACGCTAAACCGCGTTTCTCCTCACCCGTTATGACAAAACTATTTAATATGGACCCATATTTAATCAGATGTATGGAGGCCACATTTGAGATCACTTGACCCACAGGGTGTGTTCCTGTCACAACATGTGGACATATAGTGTTACCCATCCCTTGAACAGCTTATGATGAATAGCATGTGAAGCACTGAGGAAATACGGGTTGTTAAGCGTATGAATTAGTTGATTTTTATAAACATAATGTCTAATGTAGCGTTCTCTGAAATCAGTGTCAACGATACACTTTGACATCATGACCATAACAAATTCACAAAATCACAGTTTCTGCGAACCGTTTAAATTAAGGATCTCTTCTGACAGCGGAAACCGGCACAGGATAAAAGGTCACTTGAAACGAGGAAATCAAGTTGGACACATTGATGTCAAAGATGTCATCCTTTGATGTGTTATAGATGACTCGCACCGACTTGTACTGATTCTCCAGCGTGAAAAGACGTATCATTTATTGCCATGCTGTATCTATTAGACCCTTAATAATCGTACTCGTAAAACCGTTTCAACTTCAATTAAGGATATAAATATTTTCGATGCCAAATGTGAAGACTGAAACGTTTAAGGAGCTTTTTTCACAGTGTTTGAACATGTACCCTTTTATTGCTGGCGTCCTTCGGATTGCCTCGTTCATTTAGAAATGTCGGTACCAGTAGAACGGCCCAAACTCAAAAATACCATTCGGCCATCTCCTCATTGTGC